ATCATACAGGTGGTTTATGATGAGTTAAAAACAGTATATCAAGAAAGTGTTAAAAATACCCTTTTATGTTCGTATAGCACAATCATACAGCTGGTTTATCTTAGAAATTATCTCAGTTTTCTGAGAACGTAACGCAACTTTTCAATGACACAGGCTGACGGCAAATCCACATTTTGTGTAACTGAACAGCGAATTTTTGGCATATGTTGAAGATAATCACGAATCCTTATCATGCTAGGAACAATTTGATAACCTTGAAGTGAACGTCTTTTTAACACTGTGCATCATTTACTAATACTCCAAACTTTTAAATTATATTGTAAAACAATTTACCGTTTTAAAATCAGCCCTCGAGCGTATTTCACTGTAAGTTTTATTACTCTTTGCTCATGAGCAGCTATATCATAATAGTTTACTTAAAACTGTTGTCGAGAGTTCTTAAAGGTATTTATAAAAAGTCGGTAAAAGGATACAGGAACGTAATTTTGATATTTATTATTTTCAACCTGAAAGTTACCCCGTGAGATTAGGGTGGAGACACTTGGGGTTCAGGTTTAGCCGTTTCCAATTTTAGATTACTGACCAGATGGAGAGCAGTCAGTCAGTAGCACCCGCCGCCAGAAGTGCTTTGTCCAGCTTCTGGAACCGAATAATGGAAGTGACTGACATTTTCATAACGTACCTACAGCTAAAATTACGTTCAGCGACATTGTTGATCTAACATTGGACCTTCCGATCCGTTAATCACGGTCATTTTTACTTAAAATTTTGAATAATTTTATTTTGTATCTTCTAAAGCTGTTATCTCAATCTTCATGTTTTTGGTACAGATACATAATACAACTGAAATACAATGTTGTAACATCACGTTAAACGACTCAACCTTTGTATTTCAAAAATGGACGTCAGGTAAGCATACGTATGAAGTTTATACGTTTACAATGATAAAAAGAACGACAAATGCACATAATTTTGTTTGTTTTGTATAGTTATCTGGCAGGAAAAACATTTACTTACAGAAAGATAAAATGTATTTCCTACACAAGGGAAAACATTATCATACCATATCACAAAGCACGGTACTGCTTAGTATGTTGGGATGGACCGGGAAAAAAATGGCCGCCGCATATATTATGTATTACTCATCAAGGTCTCATGTCTCTCTTACAACAATCTAAGAGACTGTTATAAACACCTAACTTAGGTTTTCAAAGCTATTAAGACCGTCAGTTTAGCCACAAAACATCGTTAAAGTAGAGAACCAGCGTGTAGCGTAACAGCGAAATGTTCTGGTAATTATTCTGATTCTGGCGTCAGAATGGCTAGCTCACCAATACTGGAAGTTGTTGTGATGATCTCTGTATGTCGTGTTCTGCTAAAAAGAAATATAAACTTCATCTCTGATAGTTTGCTGTTAAAAGAATTCCTCAGCTTCATCTCTGTATGTAGTGTGTAACTAACAATCTCAAAGCTTCATCTCTGTAGGTAGTGTGTAACTAACAATATCAAAGCTTCATCTTTATATGTAGTGTGTAACTAACAATCTCAAAGCTTCATCTCTGTATGTAGTGTGTAACTAACAATCTCAAAGCTTCATCTCTGTATGTAGTGTGTAACTAACAATATCAAAGCTTCATCTTTATATGTAGTGTGCAACTAACAGTCTCAAAGCTTCATCTCTGTAGGTAGTGTGTAACTAACAATCTCAAAGCTTCATCTCTGTAGGTAGTGTGTAACTAACAATATCAAAGCTTCATCTCTGTATGTAGTGTGCAACTAACAGTCTCAAAGCTTCATCTCTGTAGGTAGTCTGTAACTAACAATCTCAAAGCTTCATCTCTGTATGTAGTATGTAACCAACAATCTCAAAGCTTCATCTCTGTATGTAGTGTGTAATTAACAATCTCAAAACTTCATCTCTGTATGTAGTGTGTAACTAACAATCTCAAAGCTTCATCTCTGTAGGTAGTGTGTAACTAACAATCTCAAAGCTTCATCTCTGTAGGTAGTGTGTAACTAACAATATCAAAGCTTCATCTCTGTATGTAGTGTGCAACTAACAGTCTCAAAGCTTCATCTCTGTATGTAGTGTGTAACTATCAATCTCAAAGCTTCATCTCTGTTATGTAGTGTGCAACTAACAATATCAATGCTTCATCTCTGTATATAGTGTGTAACTAACGTCTCAAAGCTTCATCTCTGTTATGTAGTGTGCAACTAACAATATCAATGCTTCATCTCTGTATGTAGTGTGTAACTAACAGTCTCAAAGCTTCATCTCTGTTATGTAGTGTGTAACTAACAATCTCAAAGCTTCATCTCTGTATGTAGTGTGTAACTAACAGTCTCAAAGTTTCATCTCTGTTATGTAGTGTGTAACTAACAATCGCAAAGCTTCATCTCTGTATGTAGTGTGCAACTAACAGTCTCAAAGCTTCATCTCTGTTATGTAGTGTGCAACTAACAATATCAATGCTTCATCTCTGTATGTAGTGTGTAACTAACAGTCTCAAAGCTTCATCTCTGTAGGTAGTGTGTAACTAACAATCTCAAAGCTTCATCTCTGTATGTAGTGTGTAACTAGCAATCTCAAAGCTTCATCTCTGTAGGTAGTGTGCAACTAACAGTCTCAAAGCTTCATCTCTGTATGTAGTGTGTAATTAACAATCTCAAAGCTTCATATCTGTATGTAGTGTGTAACTGACAATCTCAAAGCTTCATCTCTGTTATGTAGTGTGTAACTAACAATCGCAAAGCTTCATCTCTGTATGTAGTGTGTAACTAACAGTCTCAAAGCTTCATCTCTGTTATGTACTGTGTAACTAACAATATCAATGCTTCATCTCTGTATGTAGTGTACTATTAAAAGCATATCCAAAGCTTCACCTCAGTGCATTTGTTAAAGTAGTTTGTACTAAAATAATGTTTTTTCTTCTCTTAATCTATAACCTTTGTGTCTTCTCTGGCACAGAACAGATTATATAGTTCTTTTGTCGGATGATTACGAACCGAAATGTATATTGAATGTTAATTACTCATACTGAGTGCTGTGCATAATCTTGTAAGATTAACCCTCTATAGGAAATCAAGTACAGATGTACAGGTTATCATGGTCTTGTAGTATTAACCCTCTATAGGAAATCAAGTACAGATGTACAGGTTATCACGGTCTTGTAGTATTAACCTTCTATAGGAAATCATGTACAGATGTACAGGTTATCACGATCGCAGAAATACTTTCCCTTCTGACCAGTGATACGACTCCTATGCCATGGTCTCTTGAACTTGTTCTATGCTTGATTATATATAACACAAGCGGAATGATGCCATTTGATAAGACTTTATAACTATACAATATATATTGAAGTGGTGGGATACAACTCACTTATTACGATATAAAACAGTAACTAAGCGTTCATTTCTTTATAAACGTTATAATACTAAAACAGTTAAGCATCAAAGATTAAAACTCTTTATGGAGATCAATCTAGTAAGAGTATGGAAATAATTACGTTTTCCTGAAATCACACGTTACACTACACAACTAAGAAGGTAATCAACCGCCCCTCCCACCAACCAAAAATAAGGTTTTTAGAACTAGCTGATTGTATCTAAAATTTTGTTTTACTTGAGATACTGGTAGAGGGCTATACATGACTCATGTGGTAACATGAAGTAAATTGCAATGTTAAATATTAGTATATAAAGTAGTCATTTTGAAGCAGGGAGGCACTGAATTAGAAAACAAACTAATCTGAATTAACATACTAATTCCATTACTATTCGGGCTCGAACTTGTAAAATGTTTACGTTTCATACCATATATACATGAAAGTTAGCTTCATTAGGGCTTTTTTGGGTTTATTACAAGGGAAAAGTAACATTCGTAGGAAAGTCTTACTGCTAACGTATAGCTTGGAAAGGAATTGACATTATTAAACTGCTATTTGTCCTAAAACAAAATCGCAACATTTTTTCATGTTATTTTACTTTGTGGGTTACATTTTTCCTGTTTCATGAAGCATCAATCAGAACGTACAAGAACTATAACCAAGCTTATATATAGTGGTGTGCTCTTCAAACCTGTGCCAGAAACTGACAGTAAAGTATAACTTGTTTCTCAACACTTAGACAAACGATGCCAGAAACTCACAGTAAAGTATAACTCGTTTCTCAAAACTTAAATAAATGGTGCCAGAAACTCACAGTAAAGTATAACTCGTTTCTCAAAACTTAAATAAATGGTGCCAGAAACTCACAGTAAAGTATAACTCGTTTCTCAACACTTAAACAAATCAATTAGAGTGCAAATGATGACTCTTTTTAACTAACACCACTCGTTGCAAGAAACTGTTCTTATCTCGACTCCATAATATTCATTAAAGATTGTTCTGATTACAGCATATCAGTACTGAAAAGTAAAAACAAAGAATGCACACACACACATACACACAAATACTTTTCCAGTGTTGATCCCTGTTAAACTGTACTGAGCCAGTCATGTTTGTAATATTCTCTCAGGGTTGATCCTTTTTCAAATCCGATATAATAAATGTTCAACTACATATTTTGCAATATCTTTCATTTTCAATTTTTATTTTTCGCTTAGTACGTCAGAAAGAGATGATATCGCAACTCGTCCGTTCTTTTAAGCTTAGACGTTAAGTTTGAGGTTAACGTATTTTAATAAATTGCTTTCTAAAGTAACAATTAAAACATAGAAATGTATATTATATTTGCTTACATAAAAGGGATAGATTACGATTTCTTCTAACCGACAAAGAATTGTAATTCCATAATCCAATAGATTATAGCTTTATTAACTATTTTGTTCAATATTATTTATTAACATATTACATGAAGAAAAGAATAACCAAAGACTGGTAAGAAATTAAAAGAATACAAGAAAGAGTTTCGTAAAATAAGAAAGTCCCCATCACCAACATGAGTTTAAAGAATATATTTTCCAAGTGTGTTGACTTCGAAAGTGCATCCTTTACCTGAACTTTGATAAATAGTCACATCTGAAAAGTCCGGAAACCGTTCCACAGGTGGGCACGACATTCGACCTATTGAAGACACTAAAGCTATAGCCAATATTATCGTATTTAGCAACATCCCAATGATCCGAAAATCACAATTAAAGCTCGTGTTTTCCAATTTAACCTCCCTCAATATAACGCTAATTTTTCTCAACTTATTAAGAACATTGTTTGTTCGACTCTCACTTTTTTAACACTCTTTATTTAACAAGAACGATTCTTGTGATACGACAAAGGAAATATGTTAAATTTCTTACATAATGTAAAAACGATCGAAAATAAATTGTAGCTAAGTGAATAGTGAGATTCATAAGTCTTGAAACAACGAGTATGAAAACTGCTGATGCTTGGGGCTCTAACCAAAGAAGTTGAAAACTAATAGAAATAATGTGAGTTCTGATGGTGTGTTGACACTTAAACCATTAACATTCAACAGGTATAAATCTAGTAAAACAAATAAACAGTTTTGAAATGGACTACTATAATTAATCGAACATTTTGATTAGAAATTATCAATTACATGCATAGATGTTGGTATGGTATGTTTTATTAGTACCTTCATGACAAAGTATATAGGAATATTTCTGTATCGTTTCAAAACAAGATTTTCTTCTAACATAAAGCAGAACGAGCATGTATTCATCTATTAGAGAAAGGATATCTTCACAGATTCATCGGTCAGTTCTCATGAAACACAAAATGACTTCTATAATACGAATTTCTGAACAAACATCACTAGCGTTAATATTACGCTTACAGAGCGTTGTTTAAATACGCCAATCACAGAAAGCTAAGATAGGCTGGGTGTTGTGAGTGTTTATAAATGCCAATACAACATACGAACTAAGTTAACTAAAATCGAAACTGAATGAAAAAAATATCTTAATAATGTAATCAGATGCTTTGTGTTTACATTCCATGAACAGCCTTCTGAGCTTGTGTTTACAATCCAAGTGCAGCTTTCCTAGCTTGTATTTACATTCCAAGAACAGCTTTCCAAGCTTGTGTTTACATTCCAAGTACGGCTTTCCAAGCTTATGCTTACATTCGAAGTGCAGCTTTCCAAGCTAGTGTTTACATTCCAAGTACAGCCATCTAAGCTTGTGTTTACATTTCAAGTACAGCTTTCCAAGCTAGTCTTTACATCCCAAGTGCAGCTTTCCAAGCTTGTCTTTACATTCTAAGTACAGCACTCCAAGCTTGTGTTTACATTTTAAGTTCACCATTCCAAGCTAGTATTTACATTCCACGTACAGCCTTCTAAGCTAGTGTTTATATTCCAAGTGCAGGTTTCCAAGCTTGTCTTTACATTCCAAGTACAGCCCTCCAAGCTTGTGTTTACATTTCAAGTACAGCTTTCCAAGCTAGTCTTTACAGCCCAAGTGCAGCTTTCCAAGCTTGTCTTTACATTCCAAGTACAGCCCTCCAAGCTTGTGTTTACATTTTAAGTGCAGCATTCCAAGCTAGTATTTACATTCCACGTACAGCCTTCCAAGCTAGGGTTTATATTCCAAGTGCAGGTTTCCAAACTTGTGTTTACATTCCAAGTACAGCCTTCTAAGCTTATGTTTACATTTTAAGTGCAGCTTTCCTAGCTTGTGTTTACATTCTAAGAACAGCTTTCCAAGCTTGTGTTTACATTCCAAGTACGGCTTTCCAAGCTTATGCTTACATTCGAAGTGCAGCTTTCCAAGCTTGTGTTTACATTCCAAGTACGGCCTTCCAAGCTAGTGTTTACATTCCAAGTACAGCCATCTAAGCTTGTGTTTACATTTCAAGTACAGCTTTCCAAGCTAGTCTTTACATCCCAAGTGCAGCTTTCCAAGCGAACCCGTGAAACTGTTTTACTGTTTATGGTTTTCATATTGTGAATATTGATCAAAATTAGGGACGTAGTTTGTGATAAAAGTAAGTGCCTTAAATTGAAGAAACACCATCGGATATGTGCTGCAATTACTGTTCGACCTTTCAGCTTCCATATTTGCTGAAAATCAAAGTCAGTGACAAGCACGACAACTAAAATCAGTCTTAAACTGTTAAACTGAAGTGTTTACAGTAAAAGTTTAACTCTAAAATTATCGACTTGTTTTTATACCGTTCACTACCGGTAACATATTGAGTAATTTTATGTTTTGCTTGTTACAACATTCAGCTTAGAGAACTGAGCAAATAAATTGGGTGAAATCCCTCATCTACTTTGTAAGATATATATGGGATCTTTCCACAAATTAATGGGATTAAATAAAGATGGTATTTATCTTAATTTGTCTGTGATTTACGTTACTAAGGATCCTGCAACCAACAAAGCCATGGGTCCAGAGCAATTTGGTGCATAAATATATCAGAATAATATGTTACAAAACCCAATGGGGTCCACCCATATTGGTAATTCTTGGGTTAAAAAGTAGAACTCTGTACTGCGTTCTTGAACTTTGTAGTTTTACATTATCAATTTTTTAATTCCTATTCAACATAGTAGGAAACCAAGAAAACTGAACTGGATGTAACAAGTTCCTTATTGTGTTTAGAAGAGGACTTACCAATAATGTAGGAGCCAACCCCTTCAACGTCATAGTGTCGGCCATCGGGTAACTTTGGCCAAGAATTGGAATGAGTATTGTTGCCGAGCCGATCTAAACACACAACAGTAAAACATTAGAATTATAATTCCAGTATTATTTCTTATCAATATACATGTAATTGTTTTATTATAAGTTCCAGCTTCTATACAGTAAGTAACATTTGTTTTTAGAACAGGTACGATGTTTCGATTACTGTTGCGATCATTCTCAAGCACACAAATTTTAACGGCAAAGTAAAAGCTGTAACTTGCAATAAAATATACTTAATCAGTAAGTAAACTCAAAACGAAACTATTAATACAAGTAGTTAGTTTAACAGTTCAAAACAAGTTATATTTGCAATCTTAATTAAATGAACATTAGGATTAACTGCACTAAAAAGATAAGTCGTTATTCACACGCAAAAAAAGTGTAGAAACTCGGCTTGTATAAGTATTGATAATCCGCTCTCCAGATAAGTTTTCGACACAACGAATATTTTATATCTCGGAATACACTGTAATGCTGAAAATAGAAACTCAATGCTAAAAACTCTCGTATTTTCAGACTTCAGTGACTTTTTCGTCATCCAACACCTGAAATTTTATCGATCTTTGCTGCGTTTACTAAGCGCTTGACTGTTGTTGTACTAACGTCCTATTAAGGACTACTCCAGGCAATTACAAAGTAAATTCAATACAATAAGCACTTTACAGATGTCGATCGATAAATTATATTAGTATAATTTTCAGTTCAACAGCAACCCCGAACTACAAGTAATCAATTGCCAGCAGGTAATTGCTTTGTAACATTTTTGTGATTGTTTTTCTTTTCCTCTCTAAAACTTATAATTTTAGGGGGGGGGGAGAGAAACCGGAAATGACGTAAGGTCTAATCTCGTTATTGATTCGCCTGTATACTGTAGTTTCGCTAAATGCAGTACTGCTTGGGGGGGGGAGAATAGAAAAGAGATATATTAGGCCTCTTATAGTGTAGGAATGCAAATAATTTGTATGATTTGTTGTAATGGGCTAGATCAAATCTTACAAATCGCTCGTCAGCCAGGTTAAAGTGTTTGTTTTATTACCTGTACAGGTTTTTGTTTCTTTCTTACTAGCCAACACGTGAATGATATACGTACCGGCGAACAATATGGGAATGTGGTAGGTACGATGTTTATTTCTATCACGTTTAAGTTCGTGTAAAATAGTCGTGTTTACGTGGATATATCTTATCTGGAGCACTAGATAATGATTCAGTATATATGTTTCTCAACGTACAATTACTCTGACAGTTTAAAACAAACCACAACTGTTATTGTTGATTGAATGACTCAAAGCTGTTTCTACTGTTTTTATCTGTAAAATAAAACAGATGTATTACTCGTGCCTTGTTTGAATAAACTAACTAGACACGACTTCGAGCTCCATGTAAACTTACACATTTTTACATGTAAAAGAATGTGCCAACGTAGAGGATCTCTAAAATTATGTCAATTTTAATATAGTATCAATCGAAAATCTTAGATTTTAGTTTTGAAGACAAGACACGGGTTGGCTCAACGTTGGCGTTGAAAAAACTAATTTTGTCCCATCTGTTAGATTCTATTTTTATAACAATTTAAAAGTGGAGCACATGCACCTAACTGGAACATAGAAAATCAACACGTTTTTGTACAAAGATTTTACGTATACAGAAGTAAATTATTTTTGACCATCGACAGTAGTAACTATTAGACCATTGATGAGCCTGATGAGCTCTGGTATTGAGCGAAAAGCATCATCGGCACTGGTTATGTGTAGTTAACACAATATTATGTATTATTTTTCAGTTTCACTCATAAGATCTTAGAATTAGTCTAGCGTTTTCTGATGATTAGTGGGGCGCCAACAAAAAATAAACAACTCTACGTACGTGATTGGGATCTGGAGGGTGTCATTCGCGGCAGAGGTTTGGGTGCTGAATCTCTACATAAAAGGGTCAGTTTTATAAACTTCCGAGTTTTTTTTTAAGTCCTCATAATTTCGGCCAGAAGTTATTCCTGAACAATAGCCCTGCGCACGTGTGTTTCGTACGTAAAGGGAGCGGCGCCCTCTCTAAAAAAGTTGTTTTCTTCAAACCCACGAGACATAACCTACATATACACCGCTCAAGATACTTAAAAAACAACAACACACCTGAATTAGTAAAAATAATAAAGAAATATCTGCTATTACTTAAGATCAAATATAAAGCACATGGAGCTTTGGAATTCTGTTGAAAGATTAATACAAATCAAAGCAACATCTCTGCGCTTAAATGCTATACATTTACCAACAATATTAGCTACAAATTTCACATACGTGTAAAATATAGTTGCTACGTTATAGCCGAAGCCTTGACTTTCTGTTTCAAATTGATCTTCCGTTACACTTCTTTTTTTCGCGTTTCGCGCCGTTCGTACGGGACAAGCTAAAAATCTTAAAGACGAATTCATGAAACATACGAAGACGGTAAAAAAAAAACACACACACACACAAAAACGAACGTTCTATTTCATATTTCTTTAAAACATTCCTTAAGAACATACACAAAAGACTGTTAAGCTTGACATAGAAAAAGAAATAATCCAATCTTTCTCGTCTTTTCAAACTGACTTTCCAAAACTGGATTAGTCTAATTCCCGAACAGACAAGGTATAGAAGATGCGAGTGTAGAAAACGTGGGATGCCAAATCCTTCCTTAGTTAGGAGTGCAGGTGTGCGTTTTTTGTCGTCTTAACACCCTGCCTGTCTTGTGCCTGCCGATTGTAACGATGAAGGCTTTTTTCGTGCAGCCGGCACTGAATACCAACTTTTTAAAACCGTCTTTTAATGTTTGCGAATGTGCGGATCACGTAACCTCACAAATGTTCCATCATCACAACCGTGTAGCTTGCGTATATATCCTGCCAGACTAACCTTTGTCCTCGGTCCTGTGGCGCCCATAAGGTCTAATCCCCTTGCAATATTAGATGCCAAATAAGCTCTACCATCCTGGACTAGCCTTATAGCAGGCCGAACTGATGCTTGCAGTTTTTATAATAGTAATACAAATGCAGGATTAAAGCCTGTTCTTGCATATATTGCGCTATGAGTAACGGCAACATGACACAGAGTAACGAGCTTCTAGTCCTTGTAAAGGACGACATTTTCCTACTCGTTCGGCGTTTCTCGTATGCTCTCACGGCAGTGTAGGGCACCACGATCCACTCCCACGAACGTAAATCTGTTGAATCTCTGAATAACAATCAACAACTGTTATATAAAAGATTATGAGAATAATGCCCGTGGAATGTAGTATAGAATACAGCCTATTAGACAATTTTATGTAATATATCATTAGAGCTTAAAGCCTATGAATAAATATAGTTTGAACAAAACTACTGAATTGCCATTGTATGTGTCACTGAGTAACGGTTTAGGCATAAATTATCTAATATACATATAAGGTTAACCATATTGTCTTACATCTAACTAACCGTTTTTAATCAACAATTTTGAATCACTGACAAATTATAGATAATATTATGTTGTTTACATTACGTTGTCTAACCGGTATTGACGTAATTGTTTAACTACACAGAAGCGGTTAGGGCGCTCGACTCGCAATCTGCGAGCCGCGGGTTCGAGTTCCCGTCTCATCAAACATGGTCGCTCTTTAAGCCGTGGGGGGAGTTATTATGTGACAGTCAATCCCACTATTCGTTGGTAAAAGTGTAGCCCAAGAATTGGCGGTGGGTGGTGATGACTAGCTAAATTAGGGACGGCTAGCCGAGATAGCCCTCGTGTAGCTTTGCGCAAACTTCCAAACAAACCAAACTACAAAGAAACGCGCGACTGTTCTACTAATTTCAGTTTACAAAAACACACACAATATGTGTGTGCATTAAAATGAGACTACAGTGACAACACATCTTGTGAATTACGTGAAAAAGTCTCATTTCCCTCTAGGACTACACTTTTGGGACACCATGTATATGTATATATATATATATGCGATTATATCTATAGATTTAAGGTTATAGATCATTATGTATGCTCCAATCTTTTCTTCTGTGTGCGTGTGTATCAGTGTGCTGTGAATCTATTAATTATATATATATATACTATATTGTATAACCCCACACGACACAAGTAAAAATATCTCTACCAGTCATCTACACCTGAAAACACCAGCAACATTAATTTGAATTACACTCTTCCAGCGACTTCAAGACTTTTCTCTATGTAGAAACTCTTTACTGGCTAAGACACTACGCAGCAATATGGCTGGGAGATTGCTGCTCCCTTAGGCTTAAGTTAGTCAAATAGAAACTAACCTAATACCCTTATAACATACGTAAATTAATTACGAACCATTCAAAAGACTATCGGAGCTCCGCAGGGAGTTCAGCTCCCACCTCGATATTACCGCACCAGAGGTGGCTATGTGGCCGATTATAAAACCTACAGCCACGACTCGTTTAGACGCCTCACGCTGTTAATGCAACTTATCGTTACTGGCTTTTTTTATCAATAGGACGCGATTATCTAACATATCCTGAAACGGATAAGTCTCGAACTTATCTTTCACGCCTTTGATCGAGGTCACTCCAATTAAATTTTTCCTTTTCTTATCTCCATAAAATTTAAACAATAAACTAATAATTTAATGAAAAATACATAACAATACTACCACTCTTAGTTACATTTCTCATCCTCACATTTACATAGGATACTTTATGGCTTATGCTATTTATATCAGAAAAAACTTTAATAAGTTTGCACTCGGGGAAAAAAAATATGCGTTTTTAGGGCTGTTTGCACTCTCTTATAATGTATAATATACCTCATATATCATTCATATCTAAAGTTATAATGTAGGAACTGGCTAATATGCTATAATTGGTCACTAGTCATTGCTAGGGGAGATTATATAAAACTTTGAGTATGCTGGTGTCACACCTTTTCTACATGGGATCTGAAAACAAATGAATCAAACTATTGTTGTTTTTTATGTCTTGTACGTAAAATTATGTTCTATTCTTTCTTTAAAGTTAATTCTGTTGAAGG